CAGAGGGCGGGCGATGAGGAGCAGGACGAACGCGCCGAAAAGAGGAGGAGACAAGAGGCGGAGGAAAAGGCGAAAAAGGCAAATATGAGTCGGGGGGTCAAGAACCTGATGAAGGTCAACACCTCAGGGATGAAGAAGATGAGCGATTTCTTCAAGAAGAAGGTGTAGGCCTAGGTGGGTGCTGTGCTCATATCATGCACTTGGTTATCCATAATATGTACAGATCTTGGTGGATGGTCAGGTTTCAGGCGTTCAGGCTTGGCATCATGGTATGAGAATATAATCAGGATAACATTTGCTCTCGCAAAATGGCTGCTCATCGCACGCCCCTTGATTGGGATCCTCTTGTATACCCAAACCCTCCCCTGCCGATACCCGACATGTTCCTCGAGCTCGCAACACTGCTCGACGTAGTATCGGCACCGTACGCCGTCGACGAAGACGAAGCCGCAGCGCCCCTTGTCACCCCCCTTGTTGCCCCTCTGGTTACCCCTCTTGTTGCTCCTCTTACCCTTCCCCTCGTCACTCCTCGACCAACTCCTCGAGATAATGACGATGGTGTGCCCGCGGCTCTCCTCCTCTCCTCCTCTTCCGCTCTCCTCTGAATTTCCTCACGGCGCTGCTCCGCTTCGGCTGCCCGCCTCTCAGCCTCTTGCTGCTTGCTCAATGCCTCCTGCTCCATGTCGGCGACATCTTGTGTCGAGCCCTTCCACTCGGGGTTCAGGAGCAATCGTTGGTTGTGTTCTGTCTGTGAGAGGATGCGTGTCCAGGTGTTGAGCAGGGTGGACGCATTGTCTACCGTTTTGGAAACAGTCTGTATTGCAAGAAGGCCAGTCAGTGCATACATGCACACAGAGTGGCCCGTGATCCAACATACCCCCATGTTCCCCTTGGCCCTCTCCAAGGTGCCAATAACCCCCTCAATCACCTCGTTAATTTTCCTAACCCCATCTAGCTCCTTTCGCAGTGCGGCTTCTCGGGATTCATCGGTATCAAACCGCGAGTTCTGGTTGGTAGGTGTCTTAGACCGGCCAGCTACAGGATTGGGCGGCGATGCAAAAGTGTCTTCATGATCGGAACTATCAAAGTCATCGGCCATGGTCGGAATAAGGCTTCGTTGGCCTCGTTTAGCGGCCACGTTTGTGTATGAAACAGAATCAAAAAATCTGGGGCTTTCATGCCAGCATTGGGGCCTCCTGCATTGGGCAATGGGGATGACGTTGCTTTGTTGAACTTTTTGTGCCCTTCCGGCACATGCGTTGTTTGAGATGGGATTTGGATGGGGGAGCGGGGGATTCAACATGGGGTCTGTCACGCCAAAGACGCGTCTTTGCAAATTCGTGGGGTTTCGCGTTTTGGCGCGTCAGGGCCCCACTCCTTCATGACCAAAAAAACCGAACTTGACAGAAAGTAATGAAACAGAAAAGTCAATGAAACCGAGCAAAAGGATCAGGAAAAACGGATAGAGCAAAGTAGATAGTATATAGAGTAAACCTATTTTTTTAGCCTCTGAATGACTTTCATTTCGTTCTTGAAGCCGAAGGTTTGGTCGGCACCTGCATTTGGGGTTTCGGATTTTTTGTTCACGGGAGGTGCCATTTAAGCGATGACCAGGGGGCTGGAGCCCAATGGGAGGTTGGTCATGTCCTCGCGAGCATCGGCAGACCGGTCCCAGCCCCTTCCTCGAATTCATTTCTCTCCACCTTCTCCATTGCGATCCGGGCACAACCCGTTTTTCGCACTCTCCATTCTCGAATGCACAATCGCTCCTATTCTACTGCCAGGGCCCCCAGCATATCTTATTGTTGCCCCAGGTGCTTGTTATTGTGAATTGGCGAGTTGCGCGATTTGTTCCTTGCGTTGGTACGAGCTTAGAGTTCATTGCAAGCACTTCCTTCGGATCTCGGGAAACAAGCGCTCCCTGCCAGCTCCCTGGATCACAGAACAACTCGCTTCAAACTCCACAATACCTTGAACAACATTCTTGATCACCAACCTTGATCGCACTTCTTCATCGCGCGTCATACTCCCGGCTTCACACATTTCATTGAGCATTGATAACTAGGAGGAGAAAGGGATCACGCGTTTCAAAATGGCGGACACCATGAAACCAATCGTTCCATCAACACCTTCCCCGGGACCGACCTCGAGAATCCGGACACCCACAGCGCCTCAGCACGGCTACTCAGATTCTTACGAACCATACTCGCCCCGCAAATCTAGCCGCATCGCGCAACGGGCCACAAACAGAACACCTTCCCCGCAACCTCCGCGACATCGCGCATCCCATCAAACCGAAGGCACAACGGCTTCACCCAAGTCAACTAAGAAGCGCTTTATTTCCACCATGGCGACACCCGCCATTTCGCCGCAAAAGAAGCGCCTACCTCCCCTTGACTCATCTCGCAGGGCTTCAGGCACTCTCACTGCTGAAGCGACTGCGCATGCTGCAGTCGCACTGGGACTGTCGCCCGCGCCCACGCCCGCGCGCAAGCCAGAGTCACTTTCTACTCGCAGAGGCGCAGCAGCTAGTGCTGGAATGCTCATGACGCCGGCCAAGACGCCTCAAAGGCCGCCTAATGAAAAGGTCAAGGCTAAAGTCAAGTCGGTCGCACGCAATCTCTTCCACAGCGATGAAGAGGAGGCGATGCCGAGCCCGCGGAAGGTGCGCACACAGACCGACAACCCCGACAGCTTCTATAGCGGCGATGCTGCGGAGACGTCGTTCCAGATCTTTACCGACTCCCACGAGCGCATCCCCGAGGTCGACAACAGCGTCGACAATCCCTTCTACGTCGGCCCGAACCCCGTAGCCCCCGAAGCGCCGAGACGTCGAAGCAAGCGCAACACTGTTTCCATCCCCGGCGAAGGCAAGGTGCCGATCGATGAGGCTATCCGTCGCGAGGACGGCATGTTGATTGTTTTGTATGTGATCCCACCTTTACCTTGATGAACATTCCTTGTACTAACATAAATTTACAGCCGCGGCAAGAAGCAGTTCCGTAAATTTACGGAAATGGATGAGCCAAGCAACCGCGATGGTCTAGACGAGGGCGAAGGCGGTTTGGAGAGCGCGGTCGAGTCCCCGACGAAGAGGCACTTTACCCGTTCCTCGATCAAGCCCCGTCTGCTCTTCCCTACGGCCGACTCGGACGAGTCAAAGGAGCTCGACGAGGACGAAGAAGCAGCAACCGACATCGAAGACCACGTGTTGGCCGGCTTAGAGGCGGACAAGCCAGAGACCCCAGCAGACATGATCGACAAGACACCTGGTACTCCGGAAGCCCCGCGATACGCGCCGGCGTCCCCCCCGACAACAGTGCGCACAACGCGTTTTAGCAACAAGAAGAGTGCAGAGCCCACCCCGAAGCCGAAGAAAGCCGCCAAGCGCAGCCCGTTCGACAGCTGGCCCCGGGTGAAAGGCGGCTCTCATAGCGCCGGCCAGAAGCGGTCCGGCGATGACCTCTCTGCGGCTGCTCCGAAGCGCACAAGGGCTTGATCATCGTGTGTTGGATTTGTACTGGCGAACAGCATTCTGGAAGACCGTGGCGGGCTTTCACTCGGAGCGGGGATGACTTATGGATTATTTTTGTTTTCTTCGGCGCGATTTCGGCCTGCATTGATTTACAATAACGGGGTCCTGGGAGGGAAAGAGTTTCGTGGTTGCTGCTTAACTCGGTTCTGTTTTCGTTTCGCACGCTTTATGGTCTTATGGACCTCTCGGTGATCTGAATCGATCAGAAGCCGGAGGCAACGGGCTTGGACAGAGCGGTATCCGGGTTCACTACCTCCCGGGATGGATTACGACTCGTTTGTTCGGAATTGGGAAGAATAGGTAGGAGGGGACCTATGGGTTAGATGGCCAGGTCGTCCATGTTTGTATTTATCTCGGCACACAGGCCGCACCTATAGTGCAGCCGGGCATCAAGTAATACATCAACAATGAGGTATCAAACTTTGGAAGCTAGTCCAAGTTTTCAGCTTGGCATTACATTGCGTTTCTCTGTTTGCCCCTTTGATAGACGGGCCTCCGGTAGCCTCCGCTCCGGCCCGAGCTTGGCACACCGAGAATACCCCACCTCTCTCCCACATGTTCCGGCAAGAAAACGTCAATAGAGGGGCAGAGGGGCAAGCAACTTTGCCGCCCAACAATGCCTGGTCTCCTGGCTTAAAGTTTCAGGTACTTGCAACCCATAAGGTGGTACTTTTTTCTTACCTAACCCGATCTCAGTTCTCATTCTTCCCCCACTCCTCAAACTTTCAAACTTATCGAACTTGGTTAAAAGTCAAAAAACAAACAAAACTTTGTCAAAATGCATATTCTCGTGGTCAATGACGACGGTCCGCCGTCTCCCCACTCATCTCCCTATGTCCATTCTCTCGTTCGGGAGCTCCAAGCCCACGGGCACACCGTCTCGGTCTGCCTCCCACACACCCAGCGTTCCTGGATCGGCAAGGCACACATGATCGGCCAAACCGTCAAGCCACTGTACTACCGCCCTCCCCCGCCGTCCGCTCCCGCCGCGGGCCTCACACACGACGGTGGCGACGACAACAACAACAACAACAACAACACCAACAACGAAAGCAAACAACAACCCGCATCAACCCCAGCCACCGGCACTGGCACCACCGCAGGCCACGGCACGACGCACCCGCGGCCCAGCACACGCCGCGGCACCGAGGAATGGATCCTCGTCGACGGCACGCCAGCCTCGTGCGTGCAGATCGGCCTGTACCACTTCTTCCGCGACCGCGGGCCCGTCGACCTGGTGGTCAGCGGGCCCAACTACGGCCGCAACACCACGGCCGTCTTTGCCCTCAGCAGCGGCACCCTGGGCGGCGCGCTCGAGGCCGCCGTCTGCAAGCACCGGGCCGTGGCGCTGAGCTACGCGTTCTTCAGTAGGAATCATGATACGGGCATCATTGAGAAGGCGACCAGGCAGGGGGTGAGGGTCATTGAGGCGTTGGTGAGGGATTGGCCGGCGGATGGGAGCGTGGATTTGTATAGTGTTAATGTGCCGTTGTTGGAGGGGTTGGAGAAGGGGAAGGTGCTGTATACCCCGATGCTGCAGAATTATTGGGGGGCGGGGAGCTGTTTTACGGAGGTGGATGGGAGTGTGGATGGGGAGGAGGAGGAGGAGGAGCGGATTCGGGAGGGTGAGGGGAAGGTCGAGGAGGAGGATGGTGGTGATGCTGGGGAGGGCTCGAGTGCGTGCCATACGCACAAGCACTTTAAGTGGTCGCCGCGGTTCACGGACGTGTATCAGAGCGTGGAGGAGGCGCCGCCAGGGAATGATGGCTGGGCGGTTAAGGAGGGGCATACAAGGTACGTGATCGGTGACGTGATCGGTGATGGCGTGACCGTCGCTGTGTGAGGATGTTGACTGACATTTCTTCTCGCAGTGTTACGCCCCTTAAGGCCAACTTTTTCCAGCCGGCCACACAACTGCACGGAAAGGAGTTGCAATTGTAAGTGTGGAGTTTTCCCCTTTTGATTTGAAGCAGATTCTGGCGCAGGTCGGACGGAGTAATACGGGTATGATATGTGCAATTTACCAAATAGAGGATAGAGCAGGCGATCTAGAAATAGACGATACGCTCCTCTCACCTCCGTCCGCACTGCTAGCCCTGCATGGTGTAGTCCAAGTAGCCAGGACGTTGTCTTACGGTTTGTGCTCTCCCAGGGGAGCTTCTAGGAGCTCAACCTTTGGAGCTATGCCCGAGTCCGTGGTAGGCGCTTCGGCCGCCCAGATTCAAGATCTTCCGATTAGAACAAAGCGGAAGCCTCAGGTTTACGCGCTGGTCGACTATGACGACGATTATGTGCAGCCCCTGATCATGGCCGCCATGAAGTCCCTCCTCCCGGCCGACAGCTATACCCTCGTCAAACCGCCATCGAGTTGGTCCAAGTCATCGCCGGAAATTACGCTCCCGGACCTCATCGCGGAGCCCAGCGCCAAGGTCCTCCAGATTATGCCTTACGAGAGCATCGACTTCGACTTCGCCTCGTCCCACCCCGATACGTGTCTCGTCAACAGCTACGTGATCCGCAAGGCACTCATCCGGAAGCACTTCCTTTCCGCAACCGTCGACAATTGGGTGGCGAAGCACCCCGACTCGGTGCTCAAGACACATGTCAAACGCAGCGAGGCGTTCGAAGTGGATTTCGCCGAGTTCTTGGACGACGCTCTGATCGAAGCGTTCGATCTGCGCGAGAGCTTGGACAAAAATGCCGCTGCCGCGTACGGAGCGGACGGAGATGAGGATGACCCCGAGAGCGTGGCGGAGCAGGGTGACAATAGCACTCCGGCCGCAGCCACGGTCGCCGAGGGCAAGGGGGAGAAGGAGGATCCGACCGAGTGGTGGATCCTCAAGCCCAGCATGAGTGATCGCGGGCAGGGTATCCGGCTGTTCAACACGATGGAGCAGCTGCAGGAGATCTTTGACGAGTGGGAACCCGAGAGCAGCGACGAGGAAGACGAAGACGAAGACGGCAACGACAACGAAAACAAAAACGCACAAGATGACGCTTCACAAGGAGGCGGAGGCGGAGGCGGAGACGACACTGGCATCATGACCTCGCACCTGCGGCACTTCGTCGCACAACCCTACATCCAAACCCCCCTCCTCCTACCCCAACTCAACAACCGCAAGTTCCACATCCGCGTCTACGTGCTCTGCGTCGGCAGTTTAAGCGTCTACGTCTACCGCGGCATGCTGGCCCTCTTCGCCGCCAAGCCGTACCAAGCCCCCGGGTCCAAGTCCAGTTCCAACCCGGACTCAACAACCCCCGACCTCGACGCCCACCTCACCAACACCTGCCTACAAACCACCACCCCCGACGGCAACACCATCGACCTCGTCCACCGCCTCGCCGACCTACCCCTCCCCACCCAACAACTCACCTCCCTCACCGCGCAGATCTGCGCCGTCACGGGCGACCTGTTCGAGGCGGCCGCGCGCGGCATGACGGTGCATTTCCAGCCGCTGCCGCAGGCCTTTGAGGTGTATGGCCTGGATTTCCTGGCGGATGCCAGCGGCACCGCCTGGCTGTTGGAGGTCAATGCCTTTCCCGACTTTAAGCAGACGGGGGCGGGGCCGGCGGGTCGGGTGGTGGGTGGGTTCTGGGAGGGGGTGGTCAGGAGGGCGGTGCTGCCGTTTGTGAATCCTGGTGCTGGGGGTGTGGAGGGGAAGAGTGATGGTGATGACGGGATGGTGCTGGTTAGGGAAGTGGATTTGGGGAGGCGTTGGTAGAGCAAGCACGTTTGTCTGTTTGTTTGTTTGTTCGTTCGTTCGAGGCACACTCACTTACACGCCCTGACGGCGGCGGCGGCTGCTGCAGGGTTGGTTTGGTTTAGCTGGGTCTTGGTATGTATGTACTTGCTTGGTATGAGGGGGGAAGGTCCTTCGGGTGGAGGCTGATATGTGCGGTTTGGGCTTGATGATGCAACGACGTTGTACCGGCGCTAGTTACCAATAACGTGGGATAGGCGTCCTTGGTAAGCGGGTGACAGGCTTGGTAAGGAGGCTTAGACGGGATGGGTTGAATCTAGGTTCCGGATTGGGACGGGCGGCTGCTTCGGATGTTGTCTTGAGAGGTTGGGACCACAAAATAAAAAAGTTGGGGATGGTCGGGTGTTAGTACGCACACGCATTTTAAGCACCCTCCGGCCAAAAAAAGCTGAACTCCAAGTGTAGGTGCCACAAAACCTTCGACTAGAGGAGGAAAAGAAAGCCATTCGGAACCCAAATTCAGCTTTTTATTTGACTCGGTTTCTTTTATTTTAAAATATTTTGCCTGGTTTTCTTTACCTCTGCTTTTCCTTGATTTTATTTATCCTTTCTCTTTTCTTGTTTCTCTTTTCTCGACTTTCGAGCTCAGCTTTTTTCGGCCAGAGTGTGCCCAGATTAAAGTTGCCTTGCATTCCGTTCCGTGGATGGTGGTGCCATCAGGGGGTAAGCCTATTCTGACTGGAGTTGCGGTTGGCTTGTCAGAGAGGAGTCCCAGGGTTACATCAAGGCTCTCTCTCTTAGTTCCTTCAATTCCGCTCCTTACACAGTATCCAGGTTGTCAGAGTTGCAGTTGTATACTTCGTATGTGACGGTCCTTGTTTCCTTGTCCTAGACCGGAAGTTGGCAGGTTGCTCTCCTGACACCCCCCTTCCCTCCGTTCCGCCGCGCCGGGGAAGTAAACAGAAACAGGGTCGCCGACGGTAAAACTAACACCACGCACCCATGCCAACACATCATTCTCGATCGCTCAAGACTTTCTTGGAAGGGACTCAGTGGCGCCAAGACATCAATGTCTCCGGAGCGGACTGGTCCCGAACTCCGCATGGTCATACATTTTTGTTGCACTGCCTCACTCCGGCGGGGGGAAGGGCGGGAGACACGACCCAGAAGAGAAGCTCGGAAAGCGACAGATGGACTCTTGGATATGAGGGGTTTTCTTGTCGGGTCCTTCACTTTCTCTTGACTGGATCTGTATTATCGTCATTTTCCACGCCACGGACGGGAATGAGACAGTGTATCTTGGCAAAGAAGAATGACGGGGACGTTTGACTTGTTGCTTGTTGCCAGGGATGAGGTACCCGCCAGTAGCCGACCTGCCCTTGGTTCGTCTCCCAGAGACAAACGGCAAGTGGTCGCGCGACCAATAAACGCTCATTTTCAAGGCACGCGTTCGGGAAGGGTGTCGGTGGCCAGACGCCCAGGGAAAAAGCCTCGCTCGGTGACCGCTAACTAGGGAGGAGGGGTTGACCGCCGAGTTGGGCGCTCGGTTTGTTCCGACGCGCATGCGACCGCTGTCATGTATGTACTGTATGTACCTTGTACACGACTGAGGAGAGACGGACTGCAGTCCATGGGAGACCTGCCGTTACAGGAAGTTACTCATGTAAAAAAACGCGGTGGTCTAAGGAAGAGAGCTCTGGAGTAAAGACCAGCATTGTCCGTTTGTCAAAAAAACGCCACCGGTGATGATCTGGCTGGGTTCACAACTTTCACTCGTTGCAGAGAGGTATTGGCGGTGATGGGTGTTGGGACGAGCCTCACTCTGCTGGTCTGGTGGGGAAAAAAACCAACAGCGGAGGAAAGAAACTGTGCGTTGGCTGGATCATGTTTGTTTTACTTACGGTCCAAGGCAAAGCGGGATAGCACTCGGTTTGTCTGGTGCTTGAGACACTCATGTTGGGCTCAGCCACTATCACGCTTGAAGACTTCCCGTTTCGACTCTCCGGATCTGCCACGAGCCGGTGTTGATTTGCACTCCTCGAGCGGTAGTCAAGAACCTTAACTGCGGTAGTATTCATATGGGAACGCGAAGTGCCGAACCATGTCACGGCTAATTATCGCTGTCGTTGGCGGGTTGCCATGTGTTCACGGTACACGGAGAGCCAACCGTGCAGGGGAGATCGACGTCGGATGGGGGTGGCTGAGAAGGTATCACCCATCCACGAACCTGCTCGGGCGTCATGGGCGTCCGACCTCAAACCTGCAATGACATATTGAGGCCGACGCCGTGTCGTATGTGTTGTCTGTGATGGCGGGTATGTGCTTGCGAATGTAATGTCTTGCCACAAGTGGGCCTAGCATCGGGATGCATCATTCGTGTCGTCCTGCTCTTCGGTGTTGTCCATACCTGTTATCTCAAGAGTGCTTCGCGACTTCGCAGCATGGTGTCGCAGTGTCATCCCATCCTGCCCATTTGTCTGTTCCTCCACCACGTAGCACGAATGGATCCGTTCGCAGAGGGGGGTGACAGCCGATTAAATCGAGGTCCTCGGTCATCTTAGAGTTTGTCCCGCATTGTGGTTGCTTCCAGAAGGTTTGGCTGGGGACCAATCGTAAGAGAACAACCGGTTTCCAATGGGGAGAGGGGAGCGTTTCATGAAACAGGCACAACTCCAGAGTAGGTGTCGAGGTGGGGACGGTTCAAACTTCCCCAGCGTGCCCAACTATACCACCATGTGTAAAGGTGCCTACCTACTATGTAGGTACGTCAGGTGCAGTACACTCGGGGCGGTAAGACTAGCCGAGGCGGGTGGGCTTGTCAAGCAGGATATGGCGCGCACACGGCATCAAGATCGCCTCGTGGAGTCGAGACCGTTGGCGGCAAAACCAACCGAGGAGTTTGACGATGCTGCGCCCCGATTACGCGCTCGATTGTCCGGTGGCCATTGCTATCACTGACTGTTCATCATTTTATGCCCGCGATGGATACCAAGGCCGGGATACCAAGGCCGCGAGGCGAGCACTGCCATCTTCAACGGAACAGGAGGAGGTTGGTGATGAGACTTTCTTTGTCGAAGATTACCTATCTGGCTCGGGCCTGGCTGTCTCGGTACCTCCCGACTGTGTATGGCAGCGATGATCGAACACCCCTGTGATCGACGACTCTGCCCCAGGTTTTGCGGGGTCGAAAATCTGGTTCTGGTCGGAAAAGCGCATGCTGTTTGTTGTCGGAGATGGAGAATATCGTTACGGAATACCGACCTGAAAGAAGCAGCTCGTCAACAAACCGGTGGGTTCGTAAATTACCGATGGGAGTGGGAGATGAAATGATGATGCGGTGGCTGCAAATGCTGGAGCCGCAAGTATCAATTCAAGGTCTTGGCGGGGCTTTCCACCAGAGCCGGAGCGCCAATCGAGATGCAAATCTGCGGGCTCTCCCCGCTTCCCCTTTTCGAATTTGGAGGGAGCCCCACCGGACAGCGAGTCTAATCTCAGAAACGCGACCATAGTTTTCTCTTTCTTCAAATTTTCAAAACCAAAGAAGCAGTTGCTGAATCTCATGGCGGATGGGCTGACGCCGATTACTGTATAGCTGACGGCGATAGCAACTTGGGTCTTGTCATTTAATAAGCCGTGTGGGAATCGGTATGTTTTTTGGCGCCGGAGAATGCTGCGATGCGAACGGGAATGCTCGAAACAGATCTCTGTCGGCGGCTGCGAAACCGTGGCACAGCGATGTTGGACAAAAATCTCCCCACAAGGGGTTACAGCCAGTTCGCCCTGCTTACTTGGGACTGGATGAAAGAGGCACATGCGGGAGGCATCCTTGAATACCAGGTAACTTCTTCCCTCGGTATATTACATGTACAGATGTATTGTTGCTCTTCTCCATTACACATATTACACAGTATGAGGGCGCCTCGGCCCTGGGCGACGAAAGGAGAAAGAGGTTGCCTCTCAATTTATGAGTGGCAAGTAACAGCAGCCTCCAAGAAAGGAAGGAAATCGAGTTTGCGGTCAGGTTGCGGTGACTGAAATGATGCAAGGCGCTCGGCATCCAAGATAAGTGACATGGCATCCTTGTCAATGGTGATGTGCTTGGCAAGGTGCACAGCCCCAAGCCTTCTTTCTTGGCAATACGGGGGTACCAACGAAGTGGGCACCTGGGCCTCCTGGCACTCAGTGAGCACCCACGGCACTGCATTGGATTGCCTCCCTCAGTTTCCAAACGGCATCACCCCAATTCTCCATTCTTCCCCGACACTCCTTTCCCGGCTGCTTTGATCGGGTTTCGACTTGCCATTGGGGACGTCAGAACTGTCAATGGTGATGAGACCGGCTCAAACTCTGTCCTAGCGCTTCCCGGCTGCACTGCCCCGGAACTTCTTATTCGTTGTTGCACAAAACTACACTTAACTTGTTGTAATCTGCCCACAATCACTCGTCGACTTGTTCGGGCTTTTCACCCAAAAACGCGTCTTCCTCTTCTTTCGGTGCCTTACCACCAACCTTACTCTTTACTTCCTCTCTCTGTGCTGCATTGCATTATACTACATAAAATCTCTACAAGAAATTTTCAAAAACAACTAATTATCCCTAAATCTTTAAATAACCACCTACAATCTATATCCACAACATCATCCCTCACCACACAAACTCAACAAAACAACCCAATAAACCCATAATTACACTTTACCAACTACCAACCTATAAACTAAACAATACAACCCAACAACCCATTACAAAAAACAAAAAACCACAAACTACCTCTCAAACAATTCTTATATCAACCCTCAACAACCCCACATACCCATCCATACAACATATCTCCTCCTCTATTCCCCCCTAAAACATAAACACATACACTAACAACCCCAACCCACTCCCTCAGCTACCATGGCAGCGCCCAGCCAGGATAGCAACGATGGCAAGGATGGCGAGTCGGCTCCCGCTCGCCGACCCAGAGCGTATGTATTCCTCCCTCGCCGCACCGCAGCACATGTTTGATGGACGCCGTTGTTACACCTGTTGCTGCCAGCCGAGTCCTGACAATGTCTGGCAGCCCTACCATTAATATCGATACCACCGCCGTGGGTTCAGGTCAAGCACCGGAACCGGATGCACCTGAAGTAGGCCCGCAAGCCGTCACGAACCCTCCCGTCACCCACAGCAACCCGACCGACACCGCGCCAGCCTCAAACGAGCGCAGCGTCTCTCAGACGAGGCCCGAGGTGCAAGCCGCAATGGCCTCGGATGCCAAGGACAGCCGCCCTACCAGCCCACACAATGTCCTCAATCCCTTGTCGTTTCGGGGACCCGGCCCTAGCCAGGGCTTCCTCGCCGTCCCTAACACCCAGCGCTCGCGCCAAAATTCGGTCAATTCAGGGGACGATGCGCGCTCCGTCACCTCCTCCCAAGGAGAGACCGTTATTGGTGCCTCGTCTTCTGGCGAGAAGAACAGCCCCCCGTTTGACAGGTCCGGCAATAACCGAATTATCAACGACGAAAATGCTCTCAAACCGGATCAGGGGAAGGAGGCCGAGTTCGAGGTGGAGAACAACCCTTTCGCCTTCAGCCCCGGCATGATGAGCAAAATGTTTGATCCCAAGAGTTTGTCGGCCTTCTGGAAGCTGGGCGGCCTTGCTGGTATCGAAAAGGGGCTGCAGAGCAACCGCACCACAGGTCTAAGCGTGGATGAGACCAATCTTACCAGCGCGGTTTCTTTCGAGGACGCCACCTCCCGCTCTTTGACCAAGGCGCAGACGGAGGGTGCCGCCCCTTCTTCACCCAGTGGCCATGCGGCGTACTCTCCGGCCCGTGATTCGTCGACCGAATCTTTCTCCACGAGAAAGCGCGTATTTCACGACAACAGACTGCCTGAGAAAAAGGGCAAGAGCCTTCTCCAACTCATGTGGATCACATACAACGACAAGGTGTTGCTGTTGCTGTCGGCCGCTGCTATTGTCTCTCTCGCCGTCGGCCTCTACCAAACTTTTGGCCAGGAACACGATTCTGATGAACCCAGCGTCGAATGGATCGAGGGTGTCGCAATTATCGTCGCCATCGCAATTGTGGTTCTAGTCGGCTCTATCAACGATTTCCAAAAGGAGCGCCAGTTCGCCAAGCTGAACAAGAAGAAGCAGGATCGCTTGGTCAAGGGCATTCGGTCCGGCAAGACGATCGAGATTTCGGTTTTTGACATTCTGGCAGGCGATGTTTTGCTCCTGGAGCCTGGCGACATGATACCCGTCGACGGCGTTCTCATCGAGGGCTTTGGCGTCAAATGTGACGAGTCTCAGGCGACTGGTGAGTCGGACATCATCCGCAAGAAGTCTGCCGACGAAGTCTTTGCCGCTATCGAAAACCATGAGAGCCTGAAGAAGATGGATCCCTTCATGCAGTCCGGCTCTCGCGTCATGGAAGGTGCCGGCACATTCATGGTCACCTCTACCGGCATTCACTCAAGCTACGGCAAGACGATGATGGCTCTAAACGAAGATCCCGAGGTCACGCCCCTGCAGTCGAAGCTCAACGTCATCGCAGAGTACATCGCAAAACTTGGTGGCGCCGTCGCACTACTTCTCTTCCTGGTGCTTTTTATCATCTTCTGCGTTCGCCTCCCCAGGCAGTATGCGAACTTGACGCCGGCAGAGAAGGGGCAGCACTTCATCGAGATCTTCATTGTTGTTGTCACCATTGTGGTCGTCGCTATTCCCGAAGGCCTTCCTCTCGCTGTCACCCTGGCGCTCGCCTTTGCTACCACTCGCATGCTCAAGGACAACAACCTCGTCCGCCACCTCAAGGCGTGCGAAGTCATGGGCAATGCGACGACGATTTGCTCCGACAAGACCGGTACTCTTACCCAAAATAAGATGCAGGTTGTGGCCGGTACCATCGGCACGGCCCACCGGTTCGGCACCACGACGACTCCGGAAGAGCAGGATCCTATGGATCGGGACGTAGAAATCCCGGAACTCATCGCGACACTCAGCCCCGAGGCAAAGGATCTGTTATTGAAATCCATCTCGCTCAACTCCACAGCGTTCGAAGGGGACGTAGACGGTGAACACACCTTTATTGGCTCCAAGACCGAGACTGCGCTTCTCATTCTGGCCCGGGAGCACCTTGCGATGGGCCCTGTCAGCGAGGCGAGAGCTAACGCGAAGACGCTGCATCTGATTCCTTTTGACTCCGGGCGCAAATGCATGGGCGTGGTGATCCAACTGGACAACGGCAAAGCACGGCTCTACGTCAAGGGAGCCTCCGAGATCATGCTGGAGAAGTGCACTCAAATTCTACGGGATCCATCCAGCGGACTAGCTACCTCGACCCTCACCGAAGAAAACCGGGAAACCCTCAAGAAGTTGATCGAGACATACGCTCGGAACTCGCTGCGAACCATCGGCCTTATCTATCGGGATTTTGACCGGTGGCCGCCCAGGCCCACCCGCCGTTTGGGTGCCGAGAAGGACGAGATCGTTTTCGAAGACATCTGCCGGAACATGACCTTTGTCTCCGTTGTTGGCATTAAGGACCCCCTGCGCCCTGGTGTCCGCGAGGCGGTTCGTGATTGCCAAAAGGCCGGCGTCGTGGTCCGCATGGTTACCGGAGACAACAGAATAACCGCCGAGGCTATTGCTGCGGATTGCGGTATTCTGCAGCCCAACAGCGTCGTTCTCGAAGGCCCCGAGTTCCGCAACATGACCAAGGCCCAGCAAGACGAGATCATTCCCCGGCTCCACGTTTTGGCACGGTCTAGCCCCGAAGACAAGCGCATCCTGGTAAAGCGTCTGAAGGACCAGAACGAAACGGTTGCCGTGACGGGAGACGGTACCAACGACGCGCCCGCCTTGAAGATGGCCGACATCGGCTTTTCCATGGGCATTGCCGGAACCGAAGTCGCCAAGGAGGCGTCTGCCATCATTCTCATGGACGACAACTTCAACTCGATTGTCAAGGCGCTGAAGTGGGGTCGTGCTGTCAACGATGCCGTCAAGCGCTTCCTCCAGTTCCAGTTGACCGTTAACGTCACTGCCGTCGTTCTGACCTTCGTATCAGCCGTTCAGAGTGCTGACCAGACATCTGTCCTCACGGCCGTCCAGCTTTTATGGGTTAACCTCATCATGGATACCCTCGCTGCGCTGGCTCTCGCGACCGACCCCCGCAGGACAGCGTTTTGAACCGCAAGCCCGAGCGGAAGGGCTCCTCGATCATATCCACGACTATGTGGAAGATGATTCTCGGCCAGGCCGTGTGGCAGCTACTGATCACATTCCTGGTTTACTTCGGGGGTGTCGACGTCCTTCCTGGCCCCGATGACATGACGGAATCGCAGATCCATACGTTGGTTTTCAACACGTTCGTGTGGATGCAAATCTTCAACCAGTGGAAGTAAGTAGAGATTGATGAGTCTCCATTACGAAGTGAATAGGTTTGCTAACTTTGTACAGCAACCGACGTCTGGACAACCATTTCAACATTTTCGAAGGCATGCACAAGAACCCCTACTTTATCGTCATCAGCGCCATTATGTGCGGTGGTCAAGTTTTGATCGTTATGGTTGGCGGAGAAGCATTCCGCATCGCGCCCGAGGGTCAAACGGCAGTCATGTGGGGCATCGCCATTGTTCTGGGCGCCCTCTCGATCCCGGTTGGTGTCATCATCCGCCTCATCCCAGACGAGCTCATCGAGAGTTTGATCCCCGCGTCCTGGAAGCGCAAGTCCGAACCTAAAGTTCCGGGCGTCACTGTGTCGGATGATGACGAGCGCTTCAACGCCTACCCCGACGCGCTTGCCGACATCAGAGAGGAGCTGGCTTGGCTCAAGCGCATCAAGGGCGGTCGTCTTAACAACCTCAAGTTCGCCATGCAGCACCCGCGCGAGACGTTCATGCCCCGCCGGAGCCCCGCCCAAAGCCAGGACCACTCCCGGTCGAACTCGATCCACCGCCTCCCGCAAACACCCACACGCGAGGACAGCTTCGGTTCGGTTGTCGCCCCGACTCCTGACTCGCGCCGGCGTAGCAGGAGCATGCGCTCGCGGTCCAACAGTGCTCTGGGTGCTGCGACTGTCATGACGGGCATCGTGGCGGGCAGTATTGCTGCTGGCTGGTCACCGATCGACCGCCGCGGTGAGCCGGACTTTGGGCAGTTCCCGCGTCCGGGCCCTTCGTCGGGGCAGGATGCTAGGAGCCAGTCCCAACCACCAGCAAGCCAGTCCGTCCTGGGCGAGCAGATCCTCTCGGACGAGCCGCAGGAGATGGGCGAGGAGTCGTCGGAGAAGAAGCAGACTGGGGCCGAGGACGTCCCTATTCTGAGCATGCCGAAACCGCGGTCTCCTGCGACTCCCAGGCCGGAGGATAGCTGAATGGCTTCTGGATGTTCACGGTAACAACATACCTGGCAATGATACCCAAACCTCTAGGCTCGCACACCCGGGACGACCGGACCCGGAGCGTCCACCGGGGTGAGCGTGTGCTCTACCGACGACTCTCCACACTGGAACACTCAGTCACGGAAGCCCGATCGGCACCCCGGCGGCGACCCGGGAGAGCCGATTCGTTGTCCATGTGTATATTACTGTACAAAGCAGGAGATAGGATGCTGCAACGTGGTTGTAGGCAAATGGGAGAAGATGCGGAGACGACATACGAAAAGCTGGGTGAGCAGGTGAAAAAAAATACGGCGTTGGCGGCATGGAGGCACCTGCCATTCTTCTGGCCGGCTTGCCTCCTTTTCTTTTTCTTGTTTCAGACATACTCGGTAATGGCCACGATTTCCTTTTTTTTTTGTTTTGGGAAGCGGCGCCTGGCGAAGTAGACGGGGTTATATCATCGATCGTTACTTGCGAAGTACATACTTATCATCATGCCACCAGCGGATGGACACGGCTCGGCTCACTTTTTAGTCTTTTACACGAAAAAGCATTTTCGGTTTTCGTTCTTCCTCTTCTTGTATGGATTTAGGTCTGAACCGGTCCGGAGTCCCGCAGTACATAGTTAGCTAGGTACCCGTTTGGCGAAATACTTGTTTTGTCTAGTGCTCATTTGCAGACTACAACTACTGTGCTTACTGTGTACTGTTGTTGGATTCAGGTTTCGAGACACATCAACCCACACACCATCCCACCATTTTGGGGCTTGTTTGCTTTTGCTTCCACCGCTCTCAAAATGCAAACACTCACACCCCGAGAGTCATGCCCAGCCGGAACCAAATATCCACGGAGCAACCAACCATCCGGGCTTTGCGTATGTATGTATGTACCAACTTACTTGGTTGGGTTTGATCAACAAACCATGCCGGAATGCCTCCGTTAGTCAGGACACAGCTGCTAAGAATAACCCGCAGCTGGATGGATGCGCCGCAACGTTGGCGCATCGCGAAAGGTGAGATGTTGTGTCGCAGCCGGGAAGAAAGTGTTGGAAGTCTGACGCAGGGGCGGGGCGTGGGTGGGCGCTAGCGAGGATGGGGGAGTTAGTTGCCTGCCTGCCTACCTTGGTATGGAAACTCACGCACAGATGGAATACAGATCCGTAGTTCCAGGGCATGGGTTGTTTAGTGACCTGCATGGCCTTTTGTGGGAAAGGGGTTGAGGGTAAAAATAAGTTTGGGGTATAACAGGGAGATACCAGACGGTGTTGAGTGGGTTGGGGTAATTGGCGATTGCGGGAGAGGGCCTCGGGCCGTTGGCTTTGCTTGCTCTTGACTTGTTCGGCGCCTCCGAATGCCCACCCCACGTGCCTAAGCGGGTTCACAACTCCCCGGGACTGAGAGAAATACAAATAGGCCTGTGTTTAACTATGGTTTATCTACAGCCCGAGATAGGTTTAGCTAGAGAACAGAGTAGGCAAAAGGCACACAAAACTCCCTTTGGAGAATTGTGTATGGCTACTGGCTGCTTCGGTACATCCCGAGATCCCCCCGATTTCCCATCATCCACAATTCAGTTACACAGTTCCGGGCGTTGCAATGTGATTCCCGCAAGTTAACTCGTTACGGCTGAAAACAAAACAGTCTTCGCCCCCCTAGAATCGTCTCATGCCGCCCCTTGTGCTGGCCCGGTCTTTCCCTCACCTGCGAATTTCTTCATCTTAACAGATCGGCAAGAAAAGAAAACAGTCGCCGTTAGTTCCCAAGCCCCAACTCCCCAAATCCCCAAACCTGGCGACACGAAATAAATACATCAACAACTTTTGCACTTTATTCGCGTTTCTTCGCTCCCCGAATCTTCTCGGGAACTCGCTCGATCTGTCGCATATGCAAACGACCTGACTTGCGATTTGAAATTCGCCGCCTATCGTTTCTACACATGCGTATTTCCGTCCGCAACATCCCAGAACGTCCCTGCTCGATCAGACCACGTTTATTCAGCCCCGATTTTGAACCATCTTGCTCTCTCAATTGCCACCCATCACTGACTCGCACCCACTCTCCTTGCCAAGACCACCACCGCACTCGCGTTACTCCCTGACCTTGCTGGCGTTCTCTCTTCTCTCTCATCTCTCACACACTCTTTCCACATTGTTCACCACTAAATTCACAAATTTGTTCATAGATAGCCCTGGTGCTTGTCTTGTTTCTCATTGGGCGCGTCGTTGCCTTTTCCCACTCCGTGTCTCACTGGCCACTCTCTCACTTTGTGTCGGCATTTCCTTCTCACACAAAACACCAATCACTCAACCTGACACACAACACACGACAACACATCAACCACATCACCACACCGCCCAACCCATGGACTCGTCGCGTCGCGCCTCGGCCAAAAATGGCACGACTAACGGTTCTGCTACCACCAGAAAGCCCAGCACCAGAGTTAAGAATGTGGTCGACTATGATGAGAAGCGGGCTTTTGTAGAACTTGCCGACGAGACCAGTTCCAAGCCAATCAACCCGGGTTTGAGCGAACTCGAGGAGCGCGTTAATGACCTCAGCGAGTCGTGGGAAACCGAGTCTCTTTTTCAGGATGCTCTCGAAGACCTGGCCGAGGATCGCTTCTTCACCGATGGTTAGTTCAGTCGTCGAGGCCACATGTGCCCATCTTCGTCAACGACATCTGCTAACAAATGCATCCCATAGATCCTGATGCCTGCACCCCGGATGAGGCGACCAAGTTTCGCCAACTCCTGCGGTCCATTGGTCCCACCGTCTTTTGTGAGAGAACCATCGGTTCTGGCCTTATCAGCGCCAAGAAACTACTCACTGCCTTTGGCATCCGCCCGCCCGCCTTTCTTGAGGGCGCCGAGGATGAAGCTTATTACTCTCTACTGAGCCTCGCGCTTAGCCGTGAGCTTTCCAAGCGGGCCAAGCTGCCCAAGTACAACTCGGTCGATGACGCGGTAGACCTCCTCAAGAAGTCCAAGAACATCGTCGTCCTCACCGGTGCCGGCATCTCCACCTCGCTCGGCATCCCTGACTTCCGTTCCAAGGGTACGGGCTTGTACTCCAAGCTCGAGCATCTCGGCCTGAGCGACCCCCAAGAAGTCTTCGATATCACCGTTTTCCGCCAAGATCCTACCATCTTCTACTCGGTCGCGCGCGACATCCTCCCCAGCCATGACCGCTTCTCGCCGACGCATGCCTTCATCGCGCTGCTGCAAAACAAAGGCAAGCTCCTCACCAACTACTCCCAAAACATCGACAATCTCGAGGCCAAGGCCGGCATCCTCCCAGAGAAGCTAGTCCAATGCCACGGCTCCTTCGCGACGGCCTCCTGCGTCAAGTGCGGCCACCGCGTCCCCGGCGAGTCGCTCTTCGCCGAGATCAAGGCGGGCGATATCCCGCGGTGCCGCAAATGTGCGCAGGGCAGCCGCACGACATCCAACAGCAGCAACGCGAACGGGCGCAAGCGTAAGGTGCAGCGGGACGGGACCGACAAGAAGCCGCGGCGGCGGCCGGGGGACTACGACTCCAACTCGGACTCGGAGTTCGACGCCGTGCCCACCAACTGGTCGTGCGGCGTCATGAAGCCCGACATCACCTTCTTCGGCGAGCCCCTGCCGGACGAGTTCTCGCGCCGCCTCACCGAGCACGACCGCGACCTCGTCGACCTCGTCATCGTCATCGGCACCAGCCTCAAGGTCGCCCCCGTCAGCGAGGTCGTCCCCTTCCTCCCCGCCCACGTGCCCCAGCTCTACATCAGCCGCACCCCCGTCTCCCACGTCAACTTTGATATCGACCTGCTGGGTGATTGTGACGTGGTTGTGGCTGAGCTCTGCCGCCGTGCCGGCTGGGATCTCGACCACGAGATGGTGCCCGAGGGTCAGGTTGTGGAAACGACCCCGTCTGAGGGCTGGGGTAGTCGGCATGTCTTTACTCAGGTTGTGCCTGCTCCGCCGACGCCTAGTGAGGAGAAGGTTGATGGTAAGGCTCAGGCCAAGGTGAAGGCCGAGGCTGAGGCTAAGGGGGGGGAAGAAGAAAAGGAGAAGGAGGAGGAGCAGCAGAAGAAAGACGAGAGGAGGGAGAGGAGGGAGAGGAGATCGACGTGATGCTATTCTCATTCATTTCTCTTCTTTCTCTGCTTTACGTCGCACAGCATGGCGTTGCTGTTGGGCTTGGCGTTTGTTGTCCTTCTCTCTCTCTTTCTCTCCCTTTCAGCCTTTTATCCTACCTTCCTCTCTTTTCTTCCCTTCGGCAAGAGGCATGCATGATACCCTGTTTTGTCTTCTTTTCTTCTTCTTTTCTTCTTCTTCTTCTCTCTCCTCCCACCACACACCACACTACGTGGCACCGCGCCGGCTCTCCCCGCCTGCTTCCTCAACCAAAGAGAAGAGAAATGTAGCCTTGGCCGTGTATCTTGACGTCGTCCCGCCCCGCACCGCCCCGTCCGCACTCCACGCTTGGTGTGCAGGGCGAGGGACGAGGGGCATGTTGTTGGCTCTGCGGCAGAGAGGATTTTTTGGACTGTTCTTGTTCGGCATTTGCGTACGGAGTTGTGTGTCTTTTGTTGTTGTAGGGTTCTCGGGAATGGTTTTGACGATGTTGCGTGGTTAATATCGGGGGTCTGCGTTTCCTGGCTGCGCCGGTCGAGAGAAAAAGGTGCGCTGAGATCGCTAGTTGTGTAGGATATAGAAGTACTGATTTGGTGTTACGGCTGAGAGTTCTGCTCGGGCTTGCGGTGCGGTCCTAAATGGGACGGTTTCACCTTCTGATGCTGGTAAACGTCTCTGGCGTAGTAGTGTATCTCAAGGATGTGGTTGAAGCAAGCCTGGCAAGCCAAACACAGCTCCCCGACGCTGATCCTAAATCAAATTATCGTACTGCTAAACCTCATTCAACCTCCAATCCCCCCTACGCCGACCCAACACCCAAGCTTGGGAAGGATGGATGAATCTAAGACATGAACCAAGACCGACCAAGACAAGACAGCCCGGAAAAATCTCAATTCGCCGCCTAATCTCAATTCGCCGCCTTCTACAACAGACTCTCATACTTATCCAACCCCGACTTTTGCCCCTGCCCTTGACCTTGCCCTTGCCCCTGACTTTGACTCTGCCATTGACTCTGTTGCTGCTGCGCCAGTCCCATTCCCATTCCCATACCCGTACCCATACCCGTCATGCTATTCATACTCATGCCATTACCCATCCCCATCCCCATGCTCGTGCCCGCACCGGTGCCCGCGCTCATATTCTTCATCGCCGCCATGCCCATCCCCATGCCCATGCCCATCCCAGGGTTGGCTGAACCCATCTTGTTGGCCGTGGCGCCCATTGATGCCGGGCTGTTCATACTGCTCGTGCTATTCATACTCCCTAGCCCGCCGAATGCCGGTGTTGATGTTGTTGTTGTGATGGGAGGCCGTGGGGGCTGGGTTTGTGAGGCGCCGGGTGGCGGCGCAAGGCTGAAGCCGGAGAAGCTCGACGTTGCGGTGCTAGTGTTGGTGTTGGTGCTCGGTGGTGGTGGGAGGGAGAAGGTGGGTGCGCGGTTCTGGGTTGGTTGTTGCTGTTGTTGGCCGAGGGAGAGTGAGCCGAAGGTCGACGTGGGTGGTTGTTGTGTGGTGGGTGGAGACGACCACAAGTTGTTGCTACTTGGTGCGGCTGCGGCGCCCCAGTTGATAGATGGTGCTTGAGGCGTTAGGGGCGCCGATGCTACACCGGCTGCCTTCTGAGCTGGTTGGAGAGGCTGTGAGAACTGTGTGGTTGTCGGTGTGATAGGTTGGAAGCTTGCAAGGTCTGGAGTGACTGTTCTGAAGCCGGGCTGTTGGGCTTTGACGGCACCAATCTTGTTGGCCGGGGCTGCTGCCAGGGCTGCTGGAGCTGTCGACCAGGAGAAGGCGGGTGCCGGTGTCGAGTTTCTACTACTCACGGTCGGAGAGGTGACAGCTGCGCTTGACGCCATGTTATCCCATCCCGAGTCCATTGGATTGGCAGAAACCCCGCTAGGCCCTCCCTTCACGAGCGACTCAAAGTCTGTTTCGGTGGCCCCGTTTGCATCGGAAGGATGAACCGGCAATTAGGGCCGGAAGGACATGAAGTCGTCTTTGATGGCGGGACGAGCTGCCACTGCCGCCGGCCAATTCCCTGCAGTTTCTTAGTCTGCTCCCTCCTCCACCCTGCTCGATAGAGACTTGATAAGCTCCATGAACGACTGGAACTGTTTGAGATCCAAGAGCGGGCCCAGACTCATACTCCATAGAATCGGTAGGATCTCCACGGCGACGAACTCGGCGTCCGCCACTTTTCCAACGACTTGGAGAACATTAAGGGCCGCTATCATAACGGCGGGCTCTCTGGTCTTGATCACTTTGATCAAGGGGACGATCTTTTCTTGCAGTGGTGGAACTTGTCGAGCGCGGTAGACGAGGTCGCCTTCTTCTGCGGGCCTAAACCATTCAACCCATCGTTGCCACTGGGGTCGTTGGAGCCGCCACAAAGCGTGACGAAAGCTTGCAAGCCCCTGACCTTGATCGCAAGACTGTTTGTTTTGCTAAAAATAGTGGCAATGACGGGAAATAGCTCGTTCTTGATGGTACTGAAATCGAGCTGAGGCAGGACTGATGGAAGACTCCTCAGCGCTGCGTCTACGAGCGAAGGTGTGGATGATTCCAGGGCATTAAAGATAATGGGTAGGACATCTACAAAGGTGTTAGCTATCACTTGATCATCGGATTCCATTAGTGCTTACCATCTTTGAACTCTTTGCCTCCGCAGTTGTCACCAATGACGGGGAGTTGCTCTATCACGACCATTAAGCCAGCGTCACGGGCAGCATCCTTCTCCTGGGTTTGTTTGGCGTTGGCAAGAATCTCCTTCAAGCTAGGCCGCACCTTTTCGGTGAAGGCTCTCCTCCCTGACGGAAGAAGTTCGATGATTTTAAAGACGTTGTGTAGGATTAGAGAGATGAGCTCTTTGTCCTTTAACTCATCGAGGAGGGCGGGCAGCAGCTTCTTTTCCATTACCGACTTGGGAAACGATGGCAGTACTTTCATCAAGCCCCGAAGAAACTGCAATTTCTCGTTCGGCGTCTTGGCGGGGAATGCGTCTAGGAAGCGGATGGTGGACACAAGGATGTTGTTAAAGAACTCGCTCTGCTGGAACTCGCTTGCCGTCATACGTTGGGCGGGTCTCCGTGTGATGAGCCTCGGGAGGACATGGGTGGTGAGTTCCTTGGGTAACGCGCGGGATGATAGAAAGTTGTTGGTTGAGTTCGGTATGCTCTGTGAAGACTGAAATATACGTTGGTAGGCAGATAGGCTACTATTGCAGGATATGGGCGATTTGTGAGGGGAGTTGTATAATGAGATAATCAACAACCCCAAGCTGAACATATCGGCCGACGCCGTCAGGTTATTGTCGATGACAAAGTCGGGCGATGTATAGTCGAGATTCAGCTGGACGGTTCGAGGTAAGCTCGGGGTGTGCCTCAGAACTTCACGCAAATTGATGGGTTGCATGGAGCTCTGGGTGGTCGAGTTTTCCAACGGGCCGCAGAAAGACAGACCGCTGAGCTTCCAGTCCGACTGTTCGAGGTCAGTATGGCGTCTCGAGATAACGGGCAAACGTATGACCTGCCTTAGCGTTGATGAGGATGGCATCTGGCGTAAGGTTGCCATGGACAAGACCGGCATTGTCATGGAGAAACTCTAGCGCTTTGCTGACTTGCAATAGCCCCTTCTGTATCTCCAACTCATCGATCTCGAGCTCCCGCCTCCTCCGGTTCCCGTCGGCGTCTTCGGTCACATATCGGCTCGTCCGGCCTCCGGCCCCACCCCTCTCCTGGTCATCCTTCTCTTGCAGTAGCCCCGAGAGAGACGCAGTCACGGCTTCGGCGACGAACTGTAATCCACCACCCCTGGTCTCCTCGACGGGTTCGACCACTTCCAAAACGCCAGGGTGTCGCAGCTTGGCGATGGCCGAGGCTTCCTTTTTTAGGCGTTCGATAACGGCTTCGAGAGCCTTTTTGAAGTCTGCCACCTCGGCGCGCGTCATACCGTTGCGGTGGGCATCGAGTGACTTCTTATCGAACACGAAGACGGAGCATTCCTTGCCTGTCTTCTTGTTCTTGGCCGGGTAGATCTTCCATGGTCCGGCAGTCGAGGTGAGGTTCGGCGAGATGGTGTAGTTGGACGAGATATTCGTCGAAGAAATCGACTTGAGCGCGTTGGCGAACATAATGGGCCACTATCATCTGGCTATCATCGCGGTTGCCCGTCGAGGTAGGGCGATGCTGACGCTGTCGTCGTCAGCTCGAATGGAATGCGCCGGATCAGGTTGGGGCCAGAATTCTGCGGCCGTCCAGCACCAACTGCGGAAGGGAAGCAATCGTCTTCAGAGACCTAATCCATTAAATCGCGTGTTGGTTGACAGAGTTTAGGCGGAGGCGGGTATGGCCTAGGTTGGAGTTTTGTAATCGCGACTTGAACTCTTAGGTTGGATTCAATGAGCTGCATCTCGAATTACAGGGGAGCCAGCCGCGACAGCAGGGGCTACCTGGTTATTTTAGCAGTCTTCCCCACGACTTGCTGTGGTCAATGCGTTTTATTAAGGCGTATTGCTAAATAGACAGTGATTTGCCTTTCCACCAACTAAGACAGATCGGCGAAGGAAAAAAAAGATAAAGAAGCTCAACCATCCAACTGCAAGTCATCAGAAGAAAGACAATCCGGTAAAGGAGGTGAAGGTGACCCCGCTGCTTCTTAGTTTTGGCTGTTATCGCATTGAGTCGGCTTGCCACGGCTGATGTATTCTGTATCTCAATGCCATAACTAGGGCTACCCCTGCCCAATCCGCCTTGAAGTTCAGGGTCCAGACCTGCGTGATTGGCCCAGCCCAACCAAACTGCGTATCGCGGGCCTCCGATTACGCTCCGAGAATTTGGTGAATCAGAACGGCGACCTGGAGGATTCACCCGTCCCATCCCATCGTTCGCGGTGTTAAGTAATCCCCGCCTCGCCTTGGATCTGGACCTCTCGCCCCGACTTTATTTCGGTCCAGCCCGGTCTCCCCGTGCATGATTGTGTTGCGAGAAAAGTCAATTGGTTATCCTCCCAAAACCCAACCACCGCAACCGCAAACATGATACGGCGACTCATCCCCCGATGCGCTCCTCGCTCGGCGGCGGCCTTCATTGCGCCGCGGCGGTCACCACTGGGCCTGTTCCAGGCTACGCGCCAGTACAGCGTCAGCCCGGAGGTGGCATCCCAAACCAAACTCCAGGACATTGACCCTACCCAGGTGGTGATCAACAAGACGTCCCAGCCCAAGCCGCTCCTGAAGTCCGAGGACCTGGTCTTTGGGCGTAACTTCACAGGTAGCTAGCTTCTTGTGATATGACAGCGCGAGAGGACATGCGCTGATCTACTTTCGCGCAGACCACATGATCACCGTCGAGTGGGATCAAGCGACTGGCTGGCAAAAACCGCACATCCTGCCCTACCAGAACCTGTCGCTCGACCCGGCCAGCTGCGTGTTCCACTACGCCTTCGAGTGCTTCGAGGGCATGAAGGCGTACAAGGACAGCGAGGGCAAGATCCGCCTCTTCCGCCCCGAGAAGAACATGGAGCGGTTCAACAAGTCGGCCGCGCGCATCGCGCTCCCCAACTTCAACTCGACGGCCTTGATCGACCTCATCGCGCAGCTCGCCAAGCTCGACAGCCGCTTCATCCCCGAGGAGCGCGGCTACTCGCTCTACCTGCGCCCGACCATGATCGGCACGCAAAAGACCCTGGGCGTCAACCCGCCGGGATCGGCCATGATCTTCGTCATCGCCTCGCCCGTCGGGCCCTACTACCCCACGGGGTTCAAGGCCGTGTCGCTCGAGGCGACCGATTACGCGGTGCGGGCGTGGCCCGGCGGCGTGGGCGACAAGAAGCTGGGGGCCAACTACGCGCCGTGCATCGTGCCGCAGCGCGAGGCCATGAGCCGCGGGTTCCAGCAGAACCTGTGGCTGTTTGGCGAGGAGGAGTACGCGACCGAGGTCGGAACCATGAACTTCTTCGTGGCGGTCAAGAACAAGCAGACGGGCCAGAAGGAGCTGATCACGGCGCCGCTCGACGGCACGATTCTGGAGGGCGTCACGCGCGACTCGGTGCTGTCGCTCGCGCGCGAGCGGCTGGCGCCCGAGGGGTGGAACATTGTCGAGCGCAAGCACACCATGGGCGAGCTGGCCGAGGCCGCGAACGAGGGCCGGCTGATCGAGGCGTTCGGCGCGGGCACGGCGGCCATTGTGAGCCCCGTGCGGCACATCAGCTGGAAGGGCCAGCTGGTGAACTGCGGGCTGAAGGAGCACGAGGAGTCGGGCGAGGTCGCGACCAAGATGAAGAACTGGATCGAGGCGCGGCAGTACGGCGATGACCCGCACGAATGGAGCTACGTGTGCTAGAGCGGGGGAAGGGGGTGTAAAAGGGGCGGATTGGGTGTAGACTTGTATATAGCGTGGGGGTAATTATGAGCGTCGATGTTTCATGCCATTTTTTTCATGATCGGTTCAGTGAGAAACTCAATTCAACAACACGGCTACCGCTGAATGGCAGCACCTCTATCGGAATGGTGGTCTAGCTGGACCGTATGCCGGTACCCACAGAAGTTTTGACGCAACGAAGATGACGGCAAGGAAACAACAAGAACAACGAACGACAACGAAACAAACCATGTACATCCATCTATGCGGGGCATATGTATGCGTTGCATGTCCGTCCGTCTGTCTTCTTCTCTACCAAGACCAAGCAAGCTCCCAAGCTCCCTCGACAAGACCGACCCATCCGTTCCCCATGCATCCACCCCTCTATTTCTTCTCCGGGTCCTCCAGAATGCCCTCAGCCTCCAGCCTCCTCCTCGCCTCTTCCAACGCCCAAGTCTGAATACTACACCCCAACAAAGTCAGCCACAGCAAAACCACAAATCCCGCATTACACCACGCACACAACCCCCCCTCCCCCACCCCCCCGAAAACCCCAACCCCCCAAACTCCAAACTCAAAAAAAAAAGAAAAAAAAAGAAAAAGAAAACTCACGAAGTATCCGGCTTCCACGCATACGCTACCGCAAAGACAATCATGCTCCCCCAGAAGCCATAAAAGAAGGGGCCCTCCCACCCCTCATTCTGGTACTTCTCGCCGGGGCGCACGCCCCACAGCCATCCGGAGGGCGGGTCGTACTGCATGCCGCCGCCGACGGCGCGGCGCGGGGAGGCCGAGAAATATCGGTAGCGGGCGGGGACGACGGCCGTGATGGGTGCCGTGGCGAGGGAGAGGGTGCTGCGCACCGCGAGGCGGGCGTGAGGGCGGAGGGCAGACATGGTTGTTTGTTTTTTTTTGTTGTTTTGA